CTGGGGAATACCTGCCGTGCCCACTGTGCCCTGGCTCTGCGAGGGGTGGGAGCTGCCTTGGAAAAACCCTCTCCCAAGATGCCCCCCGTTCTTGCCAAGCCCACGCTGAGGCTTTGGAGCAGCTGCTGTTCCTGCACACAGTGCTGCTGGCTCTGCTGTTTCCCTGCTTGTGCCAGGCAGGCTGCTCCTCTCTGGGGGATTTGTTTTTCCAAGCCCCGTGTCTTGCAGCTCAGGCTGTGGCTGCTTTAGGAGTTCCATCCACAGCCACTCTGGGGAGCACATGGTGATTCCTGTCTTTGCAAATCCTCCAGGGTCACTGGAGATCCCTGACTGCCAGCAGAGTGGCACGGACTTGGAATGGTGAACTTTGCAGCAGTTTTGTGGAAAGGACTTGGAATGATGAACTTTGCACCAGTTTTGTGTTATTGGGGTCTGGGAATTCCTTCTGACACTGAAGCAGGTCACAGCCACTCTGTGTCAAGCTTGGCTTAGGACTGTGTTTATCCATCTGCTGCCTGAAGTCTGATCAGCTGTAGGCACTGCAGGAAGGTCCCTGGGATATCTGAGTCAGGATCAGATCCCAATATAACTCTTCATTCCTGAAAATTTGCATCGATTTCAGTAACTTATCACCACATTTCCTGGTATAGTAACCTGGGGATGAATTGGTTTTGTAGAGGGTCTAAATTAAGAGAATTGCACCAAATCTGGACACAGCTAACCTTCAAATTCACCTTGTCATCTTGGCTGGGGCTGCTCCTGAGCTGGGAGGATGTGACACATCCCGTACCTTCGGGCCGGCGCTATTGGCACGTATGGGCCCCAGGTTCCTCTGTTCATTCACAACATGACACTAAACACGAGCCCTCTACACACAGCAAGCAGGAAATATCTATTCAGTGTGTGTCCTCTGCTTCCTCTGGGCCCCAGCAAATCCCAGCAGAGGTTCTCACTTTTGTTTTGCTCAGTGTGACACCTTTTCCCCGCCACCGCCGCGTACGTGTGTGAAGATCTTTTCAAGTTGCTCCAAGTTTCTTTCCCCTAAATACACTGCCAGGAAGTGAGTAGAGATTACGTCCTGTCTTTTAAAAAGCTATTTTCTGCTGGAGGGAAACCAAAATAACTTCCAGCTACAACCCTCCAGGGCCATCTGTTGTAGGAGAGGAGAAAAAAAGGATGTCCCATGGAACCGTCCCCGCTGATAACAGCACGGTGATAAACAAACAGTTGGACACGTGCTCTGCAGCCACTCAGTCACTGCTCCCAGGCAGAATCCCTTCCCTGAGTCACTGGCCTGTTGGAGAGCACCCAAACTCCCAGTTGTACCTGGTCCCCAGCAAGAGGCAGTGTTTGAAGTGGTGGTTTGGTGGCTCCAGGTCTCTTGGTGGACCTTGAGCTCTTGTACCCAGCACTGCTGGCTGTCGCTGTCCTCAAGACCTAAATTGTTTCCTCAGCTTGGAGGAGTAGCTGGACTTACTCTGCAGTCTTTAAACCTTACTTTTGTCATGGTGTAATTTTATGGTCTTACTTAAATTGCAGACAGAATGTAAATTCTAATTTTTTTCCTTTTTTTTCCCCCAATTAAAGCTTGAAGAAGAATTCCAAAGAACGGCCAACATACCCAGAGCTTATGGTGAGTGTGGCTGCACCAAGCAGTGTGTTCAGAGCTGGAAAGGGTCACAGTGAGGTGCTGTGAGGCAGAGACTCCAGTAGAGATGGTGTTTTGGTATGCTTTGCATCACTTTTTTCATACCAGATGGGAGAATTGTGACACTTCAGAATCCCGGGAGGGGGGCTGCAAATCAGAGATTCTCTTTGAAATCCCAGCCAGGTGCTTTTCCACCTTTTTTGGAAATCAAGAGAGAAAATACATGTTAAAGCAGGTTATGGACAAGAATGAGGCTGTGAAGCATCAGTGAGGCTCAAATCCTCCTCTGGGGTTTGTGTGATCACCTCAAACACCTCGGTGTGCCCCAGGTGCTCCACAAGAGCTGCAGGAGCCCAGTGGCCAACAGGGCTTTGGAGAGGAGGATTTTTGGGCAGAGTAATTGCTGGATGCTGGGGACAGGGACGAGTCTGTGACTAATAATTCCGGTTATTGAATTTCATCTGCTGCCTAGAGACTGTTTACTGGGAGGGATAACTCAGGAGTAACCAAGGAGGAAAGTGCCAAGAAAGGTTGGTGACAGGGGAAATGCAGGGCACTGCTCTGTGCCCAGCCAGAGCTCTGGGCTGCAGCTGGCAAGAACAAATTTTTCTGCTTGGGCTCCACAGCTTCATGGCCCCTCTCTCTCCCCTGACTTTCTGGTATTGATCCTGGTGCTCCTAAAAGCTGGCAGAAAGCAGGAGAGCTCAGGAAGTTGGTGCTTCACTCCTGCAGACTTTAATCCTTTTTTGCTCTCACACAATTCACAGCTTTCTAAAGGCAGGAAGGTGCCTAAATTTGTATTTCTGAGGATCCTGACCCTGCATTCCCACCCCTGTCCAGGGGTGTCAAGATCACCTGGATTAAGGGTGGAAACTGCTGAGGGATTTCTTTAGGCACTCATATTCCCTACCCCACAATTTTTGGGATATACATTCTGCCCCCAGAGGGTCAGACCCACCACTACCTCACACCTCCTGCTCAGAGGTGAGAAGGTGCAGGTTTAAGGTGATTTTTACCTGCAAGTCATGCTGGAAATCCATGACCCTGAGTTGTAAGCAGTGAATAATTCCCATGGCATTTGGTGCTGGGCCCTGTAATGCAATTAAACTATAAATAAATCTGATTGACACACAGCTTGCCCCCAGACTGGTTTCAAACAAAGAGAGGCCTGAGATTTATGGCTTTTTTTAAAAAAAAACTTTATTTTTTGGGGGCTATATTATTGAATAAATCCATCTGTATATTTTAAGCAAACTTCTGAACTTTGCCAAATGGCCTTTTATCAAGAAAGGTTCACTGAAGCAGCTCTGTCTGCTGCAGCATTAATACCCATTGGCAAGGGAGTGCATTTCTATTGAATTAGGTTCTTGGATCACCCCTGCAGAGTACCTCAATGCTGTGGTATTTTATGGCTGACATGGATGTTGTGAGGTCCTGTGGTTGAGGATTGCTGTTCTGTTGGGGTTTTTTCCTCTCTCTTACAGCATTAAGTTGTGGTGCTGGATTGGACTTGTCATTTAGACCAAGACTGCTCCCTTGCTTTCCTGTGGAATTGAGGTTTCTCATGGAAAATGTGACTCTGTGCTATCTTGAGCATCAGGAAAGCTGATAGGGGTGCTTAATCTCATTAAAAAACCCCCTGCCCCAGGTGAAGTGGAGCGTGAAACTACTGCAGGAGTGGTGGTCTGCACAGCCTGCCTGGCACAGGGCTCTGGGCCAGGCTCAGGCCTTGGCTTCCCTGGGGCACAGGGCTGAGGGCATCGCTGCCAGCCCTGCCACGTTTTTGGGTGTCACTGTAGCTGTGCTCTGGGTGTCACTTCAGTGGGGTGTGAAAGCAGGGACATGCTGGGATAATAACAAGACATTGGGGTCACCTCGGAGTTGTTCAGGACACTTCAATTCCTGTGACTGTCTGACCTAGGGAGACCTTAAGTTTTGTCTGGATCTTTGCCTCAGCCCATTCCAGCCCTGTTTCCCACATAATTGTGCTTCCTCTTCCTTACTGGTGTGTCTTTGGATCGCTTCCCAGCCACTCTGAGCTGCCTCATCTTATTCCCTGGGGGACTTTCCACTCAAGCCCACCTTGAAAAATCTCTTTTCTTTGCTCTTCTTCTCCCTTCACTTGGCCACTGCCAATAAACAGGCAATGCTCAGGAACTGAGCTGAGGGGCAGCTTGGAAAAACCCTGGAAACCCCAAATTACCTTTAAAAATCTGACTTGAAATGAGAGGGTTGGAAATGAAACCCGTGTACAGAGCAGAGATCACTGTGAGCCCTGCAGGGCCCTGGCTGCCTTTTGGGTCTCTCTGACACTCTCCATAGAAATAATTCCAATTATCTGCCAGGACAGTGGGAGTCAAGCAGGGTTTTGGGGGCTTTCAGGTGGGGTCTCAGCTTGGTGTGTGTCTGAACCAACCAAACTGAATTGCTGCTCCTGGTGGAGAGGGGTTTTGTTGCTTGGGGGGGATTTGGTTGTGTTTTTCCTCCTCACCCGTATTTTTCCATTGGTGCTGAAATGTCAGCAGGGTTTTCTGGCAGGCTGTGTCCCCATGTTGGTCAGGATGAAGCAGTTAAACACACAAGTGGGGATGGTTTTCCAGTCGGGATGGCTTTCCTGTGTGGTGGCTGGGGTGAAGGAGCCTCTCCTGCTGCAAGGAGGGGCAGCTCAGGGAGGAAATGAGGCTCAGGAGTCACCAGAGGGTAAATACACAGACAGGGCTGAGGGAAAACCACTGCAGCCAGCCCTGCTGGATGGGTGACCATGGTCTGGGAGTGTTTTGGGGCACATGGAGAGGGTTTTCTAAGCCTTCTCCTTGCCTCCAGAGCTGCCCATCAGCCCTCCCAGCCAGGGCAGGGCTTGGGGGGAATCCAGAGGGGTTCATGGAGCAGCTCCCCCACTTGATTCATCTGTAAAAACCCAATATTATGATGCTAAGGAGAAAACCTTCTTCACTGTCTAGAGGATTGTCTGAAAAGCTTTTCTACTCAGCGTGGTGAATAATAAACTTTGGTGTTTTTTTCTCTCTTTGCTTTCCCAGCAACATCCTTTCTTCACCCTGCACGAATCCAAAGAGACAGACGTCGCCTCTTTTGTCAAGCTCATCCTGGGAGACTGAGAACTGGACTTGGAAAAGAATTGCCCTTCTGTGGACTGGTGGGTGCAGGGGAGGGGCACGTGGCAGGACTTGTCATGGAAGCACCAACAGAAAGTCGCCGTGTTTTGTTTTGTTTTGGTTTGGTTTGGTTTTATTCTGAGAAACCCCCGCCTCGCCCGAGTTTTTTTAAAGGGTTCTTTGGTATCCATAGTGACATAGAACGAGCTGGTTAGTGGAATGAATTTTAATAAGGTTGGTAACCTTAAAACAAAAAACAAAACAACAACAAAAAAAATTTTTTTGAAAGAGTGATTTACATATTTAATGACAGTTGAGGTTCCTCTTCCTAACTTGCTCCTCATCCCCCTTCCCTTCCCCTTGAACCAGAATTTGCTTTGTCATGGTAATAGGTGCTATGGTAGTCATGAAGTTGTATGTAGATTTATATTTTGTCCCTTCCATTATTTTAATATTTATGTTAAGTGCTTGATGGAATAGATTTCTGTTTTATATGAGGATGAGTGCGTGGTGATGATGATGATGATGATGATGATGACAAAATGAGGCCACAGCAAGCAGCACTTGTAAGGCTTTGCTGGGGAAAAGGTGTCCAAGGAGAGGAGAGAGGAGAAGTGTCCCTGATGTGGAATATATTTAATGTGCATCACAAAAGGAATTGATAAGCAAGACTTGCAGTTCAGCTGCTCGAGCTGTGTCAGGGAGGAAGGCCCTGGTGTCCCCTGTGGTCACCTCTTCTCCGGACACCACGCTCCGAGTCCGGAGCTTCCCAGCCCTGTCCCACCCCCTGCCCTGCTGGAGAGGCAGGCTGGGAGCTCTGGGAGTCGCTGGGACAGTGTCTGGGACAATGTCTGGGACAAAAGGCCCGGAGGGAAGGAAGGAGGCTGCCAGAGGAGCTGCACACAGAGGAGGAGGAGGAGGCTGCCCTGGTCGGTGCCCGCCTGCCCAGCAGCGTTGCAGTGCCCGAGGCTCCCTTGGGCTGGGGATGAGCTGCTTTGGGCCTCCACAGGAGCTGCTCTCTGCTCCTCGGGGTGAGCCAGGATCACAGGACGCACGGTGTGACACCTGTGACAAATGGCATGGTTTAGTGCTGGTTTCCAGGGCTCCTGGCACTGCTTTGGCAGCAGTCCCTCCGTGCTTGCCCACAGGGTCTGGGAGTGCCAGCGCTGCCAGGAGCCCGTGCTGGCATGTGGGTTGGGCTGTGTCCAGCCCCAGCTGGGATGCTGCAGGTGGGAGCTGCAGCCTGGGAAACCACACAGGGACACCACAGCCCCCCCTGCCCAGGAGCTCCTTGCTGCTGGCTGGGTCCCTGGGCACAGGCTGCAAGCCAGGGCAGGAGAAGGAGGATGGTGAGGTGGGAGAGGAGCTGGAGATCCCCTCTGCCCTGGGGTCAGTCAGTGTCTGGAGCAGGGGGCACGGTGAGTGTTGCTGAGCCCGGAGCGAGGCCGCTGGCTCCACATTAACGCTGCTTTGAGCCACACCTGCCCAGCTGCCTGAGCTCCTCTGCCTTTGCCCGTGGCTCCTTCCCCCAGCCCTGCCACGGGGCCTGCCTGTGCGTTCTGGGGAGGCTGCACAAGTGCCTCGTGCCCCTGCACCGCGCGCTTCCGTCCCCACCCCTCGCTTGGGCACAGCCCCTCGGAGCCAGGTCTGACCAGAAACACACCCTGCTCTGCAGTGCTGAACCTGTGCAGGTGTCACTGAGCCTGTGCAGGTGTCACTGAACCTGCTCTGCAGTGCTGAACTTGTGCACGTGTCACTGAGCCTGCGCAGGTGTCACTGAACCTGTGCAGGTGTCGCTGAGCCTGTGCAGGTGTCCCTGAACCTGCTCTGCAGGGCGTAACTTGTGCACGTGTCACTGAGCCTGCGCAGGTGTCACTGATCCGGTGCACAATGTCCCTGAACCTGTGCAGGGGTCACTGAACCTGTGCAGGGGTCACTGAACCTGTGCAGGGGTCACTGAACCTGTGCAGGGGTCACTGAACCTGTGCAGGGGTCACTGAACCTGTGCAGGGGTCACTGAACCTGTGCAGGGGTCACTGAACCTGTGCAGGGGTCACTGAACCTGTGCAGGGGTCACTGAACCTGTGCAGGGGTCACTGAACCTGTGCAGGGGTCACTGAACCTGTGCAGGGGTCACTGAGCCTGTGCACAATGTCACTGAACCTGTGCAGGTGTCATCTCACCCTGCTGTGCCAGGTTAGCAGCTCCAGGCTCTGCTGGTGCAGGATGGAACAGCCTGAGGGGATTTTGGGAAGGGATCCCCTGGCAGGGCAGTGTTCAGAGCAGGGCTGTGGGCTGGTGGCACCTCCCGTGCTGGGGACACGCTGGGGACACGCCAACCCTTCAGAGAGGCGCACAAAGACACCACCAGTGCCTGGGCTGCCACTGTCACTGCCACCACAGGCTGGGGTGCTGCAGCTCTGCCCTGGGCTGCCACTGTCACTGCCACCACAGGCTGGGGTGCTGCAGCGCTGCCCTGGGCTGGCAGTGGCAGACAGGGGAGCATTTGTGGGATTTATCAATCCCCGTGCCCTGGGCTGCAGAGCAGGGCTGGCAGGAATCATCAGGGTGCCATTCACAGCTCGTGCAGGCTTTGGGGAGGAGGCTCCCCTTGCCCAGCCCTCGGGGAAGGACAAGCTCCATGTCTCACCCTGTGCCCAGGGGAACCTTTCAGGTTACATTTTGTGGCGGGTGAAACACGAGGATGTTTTACTTCACAGTGTAATTTTAAGAGGCCTCGCATGGCTCATGATCTGCCCTCTCATATTCCATGGTGTGTGTGTGTGTGTTTTCTCTCTCTCACTTTCTCAGAGTCACAGAGCTGTTTTGATTGATTGTCCTCAGCTGCAGCTGAAAGTCCAGCCAGCCAGTTTATAGACTTGGTTCCAGCATCAATTCTCACTTTGAAAAACATGACATTTAAAACCACCCTTTGGTTTTCCTACATATGGATCTGATGCTTTTGTTCAAGATTGTTTTTGCTGCTTTTCCCCTGCAATATAAGTCTCATTTGGACACCGCATCTCCTTGACCTCAGAGCACCTTCATTTCAGTGCCATTGTAATTGACAGGTTGAATTTATGAGACACTGTCAAGGCTCAGTATTAATAGCAGATATTAATGTCACCAGCGTTTTCCAATAGGGAATTAATGGCAGTGTTGTCTGCAGCTAGTAACCCTCTGAAAGGATTCCTCCCTGCCTCAACACAGGCCTTGCTTTTCTGCTTTCTGCTCTAATCCCTCTGTTTTAATGACATTACAACAGGGCACGCAGCGAATCCCTCCCCTTCCCTGCTCCTTCTCCATGACTTTGTTCCTTTTCAAGTCGTTTGTGTCAGCCCAGAGTAAGTGTGGAGCTGTCTGAGCATGGGAAGTGCTGTGAGAGGTGCCCAGTGCTGTCCCTGCATCCCTCGTGGTGGACACAAAGCTTGGCCTGACCCAGGAATTCCTTAGAGAGAAGCCTGAGCTTGGTGGCTTCAGCTCAGGGAGGAGAGCCAGGGGTTCCTGTGTTCCTCAGAGCCCTGCAGCCCTGCAGGATGAGTCAGGCTCTCCTGTCTGCTGTTTAATTGGCACCCATGTGAAGATGAAAAGCCTTTGCTTGCTGCTCAGATCTTTGTTTGGCCAGGCAGGCTCTGGGAAACCTTTCCTGAGAGCCTGGCCCCCTGAACAGCCCAGGGTGTTGAGAATGAGGGATGTTCTTCACACAGGTTTTCTGTGTTCACACAGCACAGGGCTTGGGGTCGCCCCAAACTGGGATCTGTAGAGAAGCAGGTCTCAAATGCCATAAACCTGAAAGAACCCCAAAGCTGGGGAGCAGAGGGAGAGCAAAGCTGCTGGGAGCTCAGCACTGGGCTGTGGGCTGGCCCAGCTGTGGGTGGGTTTGCAGGGCAGGGAGGGCCCCTCAGGCTGCCACAGCTTATCAGGAGGCACAGCCCATCCCCAGGGATCCCCAGGTGGGATGTCCAACCTCCTCTTCCCCCCCATACAGCCCCTGCAGTCCCCAGGATGCTGCAGGCCTTGCCATGGCTGGAGCTCTGAGGTGTCACTGGTGTGAGAGGTGTTTTCTGGGTCCCCAAGAGCCCTTTGGACCCTTAAATCTGAAAGAGGAGTTGGAGGGCATTTTCTGGTTACTGTTTTTAAACACCAGGTTCATGCTGCTGCACTGGGTGCAATGCCCATCTTTCCTGGAGTTCTTCCAGGTGTACAAATCTTGACACACATATCTCTGTACTGTATTTCTCTGGTTTTCCCTGACTTTTGATGAGTTTACTGGTGACAAGAGGCAACTCTGACTTGTTAAAGAGGTGAAACTTTATTTCTGGAGGCAGGTGTATGACACAGGAGGCAGTTGGTGGGTCCCTACTTGAAAAAAATCTCTGAAAAAATTTCTAAAAAAATCTCAATTCTCAACGCTGTTGTTGAGCAGGTGCTGCTGGGGCTTGTCCAGGTGGGAAGGGGCTGCCAGGGGCTGAGGGCACAGCCTCAGCTGGGATTTTTCCATGCTTGCTGCCAGCCAGGTGTGTACCTGCACATTTCCCTTCTTCCCTCCACGTTCTGGAAGAGGAAATCCTGCTTGGATAACACAGCATTGCTTCAGTGGCTGGTCTGGTGTGGTTCAGACAAGGTTCCCACCAGCTCCCATGTTTCATAAATCTTTCTTATTCAAAACAACCCCCAAACTCCTCTCTCATAAAAGCCAGCCAAGATGCTCCTTTTTTTTTTTTTCCCCTTCCATCTTGTTCCTGTTAGAGGAACTCTGGGAGCCTGTCTTGGTGCTTTCACTCTTTCACATGCCAAAGATCCCTCTTAGCTATGCTCCTGCCAAACCAGATCTTATAGTCTTGCCTCTGAAACCATCCACTTCCCTGCTCCTTGGGGTTCCTTTTGTTGCTGTTGCTTTTTCATTGAATTTCCTCGTGTTTATTGACATGTCTATTGTTGAGCTTCCTGGACACATGCAGCTCTCTTTTTTTGGGATACAGGGAAAGACAAATAGTTGCCTTCACTTCTGTGCCCCTGCTGCTGGGGAAATACTGTCAGTGCTGAGATTGCTGCAGATGGGATGGCTCATGTAGAGCTGGGGTCGTGGAGGGTGTAAACTGGCACTGCTCCATTGGCTTGGCTGGAGGAAGGCCAGCTTTGTCCAGCTGAGAATCTGTCCTTAGTGTCTAAACAGTTATTACACACTAATAAAGATTAATGATCACAAATCCCCACGGATCAGACATAAAATGGCAAGTTTTGCTCATTAATCTTTATTGCCATGTTATGTTGTTGGTGTTAGAGCAGGCTCCTCTCTCTGCTCTGGCCGTGCCCAGGGCAGGGGGCTGAGCCTGGGGAGAGGAAGGCTGGACAGAACACATAGGACACACCAGATATCCACATTTCACAATCTGTGTCCTGCCCCAGGCTCCTTGTTTCCTTGAAAGCCCTCAAGCAGCAGCAGAGGATGGATCCCAGAGCTTTGCCTGCTCCTCTGGCCTCTGCCTGGGCTGTAAAACCCAGAAGGGAGCAGATCTCCTCATTAATATTTCAGCTCAGCCTTTGCTGGAGCAGATGGAGAATGTGAAATTTGCCCTGTGCTCTGCAGAGCTGGGAGATTCCCTCCTGGATCGTGGCTGGAGGAGTGACAGCTCTTTGAAGGCTGAAAGGACTCTGCTCCTTCACATAACCCCACTCCATAAAAACAGTGGCTTTTGGCAATAAATAGGGCCAGAAAAAGCTGCATCTCCATTTGAGGTGTTTGCAGATGAATAAACACAGCCAGGAGCTGCTGGTGCAGTGCTGCAGGCACAAAGGCCCATTGCTGGATAAAAGGAAAGGGCTCTCACAGTGCAGTGCACTTTAAGGGTGGATTTAATGGCATGGGGACAAAATGAGTGCTCTGATGGGCAGCTGCTGTCAGTCCACTCTGCCAGGGAGGAGCAGGGGAGGCAGGACACAGCCTGGGAGCAGCCTGGCTGCCCTTGCCCTCCCACATCTTCCCTCAGGCCCACACCACTGGGTCCCACTCATCCCCAGCTCCAGCAAGGGGAGCAGAATCTAAAACCCCAAAGAAACACACAGGGAAAAACCTGCAGGTGACCAAGGCATGCTGCTGCTTGGCCTTGAAAAAGGGAAAAGCCTGGGAGAGCCTCTGGAGCTGAGAGAGAAGAGGGGAGGCTTTCAAGGTGGTCTCGACAGCTTAATGCTGGAAATTGCCAATTTTTAGGCCAGCAGGAGGAGGGAGCTCACCAGGGACAGCCAGGGAGCAGCTGGGGCTGCAGGATGGTGGTGATGTGTCCTTCAGAGCAGCCCTGGCATGCTGGAGAGCTCTGGGCCTCCGTGGACACCTTCAGATTTTTATTTTCATGTCAAAATATTTCCCATCTTTTTATTTTCATGGGATTTTACTGGCAGCCAGCAGGAAGGGGAAGGGGCCTGCAGTCCATGGAGTGCTTTGGGGGAGGAAGGAGCTGCCAGTCCTCTCCAGTTCCCTGCTCCCAAACTCCACAGCTGCACAGCCACCCTGCAGGAGTTTGTCCCTGCATTTGCTGCCCTTTGGGAATGCTGGGCAGCTCGGGAGCAGGGTCCCAGCCCAGCCAGCAGCCAGGATGAGCCACAATCCCTTCCCTGGGAGCCTCCTGGTGGTTGAAGGACGGGGCGAGCGTCCAGCGGCCGCGAGGTTCTGCGGGGATAAGGCGGGAGAAGCTTGGAAGTGGAGATGGAAATCTCAAAAGCTCAGACGTCTTTCGGTCATTTCCAAAGCTCTCTGGTGTTGGCCAGACCTGAAAACCCTTCCTAGGAGTTTTATTTCGGGGTATTTTGATCTGGTACTTTCGCTTTTG